TCTTTACGTCCTTTACTTTTCAAGATTGCCGTTCTTGACATTCACCGGCCACCTTGAGGTGGAGTATTAGATGTTAGATATTTTTAGCTTGCTGCCAGCTGTCTTTCCTTATTTCTTTTTCCCGCCATTTACCATTCTGTTATATCTGCTCTATATATATAGCATTGACTGATACATTGTAAAATTGGATTGCTTATTTCTTCAATTCAATAAGAAGCTTTCCGCCTCTTCTGTCTGATTTTCATCCTTCTTTAATTCAATACTACTCTTATCAAAATATAGATATCTTTCTAATTCGGCATTCGATTGGTTAGTTCAATTCTCACCCCTACTTCCTAATCATATTCATTTCTTTACTGAAGAGTAGCGGGAGTGAGTGAGTGAGTGAGAGGCGATTGAAAGCTAACATTTGTTTCAGCATATCATCTTGCTCAAGTCAATTGTAACAATATCATGTTTTCAAAATCGTGAAGAATATATTCAAACTTGTGATCATCTTCCTATCGAAATCCTAACAATATCATTGAATCTTAGATTCTATTCATTACATGCAAACATACAAATACATATTACATAATAACCATTTAGAAACTCCATCCTTGAAGAAAAATAAGCATAGACGAAGGAACAATCTTGTTCCATTCGGACGCTTGGCTTCGCTTAAAAGCCAAAATTATTAGTATAGATATACCTAAAACAGAACTAACCAACAATTATAATTCCCCTTTAAGCAACAGGATTCAATGGGTTCATACCCTTGATATTCCCGGCAGGATCATACGAACAAACAACGAAAACACCCTTTTGATTGTCGCAATAAACAGAGCCACTGCACCCAACCTTTGTTGTGGTTTTCCATATCACGTTCAAATAATGGCCACATTCACATCCATCTTTCTCCGGATGGCACCGGCAAACATTCTTGGTATGATCGAAAAACTGTTGTTCATTGAACCAACGGTGTACCACAAAAGCCGGAGTAAACTCAGAATATTGCATCCAAAAGAGATTCTCTCCATATTTTCCAGGAGAATGGTGCCTGTAATTGCAATCAACCTTGCGCTGCTGTGCCCAGGAATACGCGGCCGCGGTTAAATTCGCGTCCCACGTCAATGGTGGGACGCCAACTTTCCGTCTGAGGTTATTGTGGGCTTTGACGTACGCCGCCTGATGCTCGTCGTATCTGGGCACAAACGGCGGCGGAGGGAGCCGGGTTAGGTGGTTGAATCTCCCCACCCGCTTCTTCAGTAAGTTTCTTGGGGTGTCATGGAAAACTTTGGCTTGCGAGGAAACCACGAAGGTGATCAGAATCAAACCTGCAAGAATTTCAGCCTTTGACATTTTTCTGGTGTATTTCGATAGGCAGGGCTATTTTCAGGTAGATTCTTGATTTTTGTTCCTTGATTGCCACTCTCTCGTAATGGGAGAGAAGCGGCAAATGAGGTGAAATGGCGGAGGGGAATTATAATTCGATTTAAGCTTCTAAAATTTACCTATAATTTCCATGCCCGGGATAATCTAAGGTGAGGAGAATTTTCCGTAAATTTCATGTTTATTATTAACTTCATAATAGATGCATTTTAATGAGTATCGTAAACATTCTAAGGAAATGTTTATGATGTGTTGGGATGTAATACAAACTATTCCAATATTTTAAATTGTAACGAGGAGCTGAGCTCGACTCGTGTTCATGTACAAGGTTCAATTCAATCTCACACGGGTCAGCTCAATTTTCCAAGAAATTAATAAAATAAGTTAAAAAAGAGTAAAAAATTAGTCAATCCACGAGCTCAAGACGAGTCATCTTGTGAGTCTGGACCTGACGAGCCAAGCCCAGTGGACTTGCGAAAAAAATTGAGCTCGACTCGACACGTGACTCTTTTCAATCCGAGTTCGAGTGGCCGATGAGCCTAGTTTAGCCAAGCTCACGAGTTGACAAGTGGCTCGACCTGGTTGCTACTCTTAAATTAATCATTCAACTTTATTTTCATTCCCTGTATACAATTTAAAATCGACTTTTGATCATCGCATGTTCTAGTACATTCTGATTGAAAACTACTACAATATTCAAACGCGCATGTGCATTTCACATTAAAAAGAATCACTTATCCTAATTTTTTCAAAACCTAAAAATAATAATTTTTTGAGTAAGAAGTATAATATATAATGATCTAGGGCGTGTTTGGTCGTGTTTAAAATTTAATTAAAATTGAAAATATAGCATTTATTGAGTCTCACTCATCTAATAAAAGTCAGTAATAACGACTAATTTTTCAATTTTAATCCAATTTTAATTTCTATCGAAGATGCCCCTAGTAAAAAATATAGCCTCTATTTTATAGGATTAAAATTTAGATTTTAATTTAAATTAAAGTTAACAATTAATTTAACAACATATTTCATGAAATTCACAACTTTTCAACTATATATTTTATCAACTTCTATCAAAATGTACTAAAAATCTAGTTTAACCTCCACCTGGGATAGTAAACAAAATGAAAAATGTAAGACTAAGAGATTCTTTAAACATGAGATTTTCTTTATTTTAAAGAGTTAACATTTAAAAACATGCTCTAAGAGATTCTTTAAATTAATATTTTAATTTAGAGAGTGGTTTTGACTTTCTAAATTTGGAGAGCCAAACTCACTCGCTAAACCTAATTCTGCCAAACATGCCCTAAACCTTTTGTAAAGTCGGTTTCCAGATTCCCAAGTAGTTCAACTCCTCCATCCTCTACATTTGTTTGGTACAACTCCAACTGCGAAGCGCACAATCTACTTATACAACGACCGTGGGAAAACGGGCGCACCCAAATCTCGTCTCCCACGATTGCTCATTCTTTACGCCAGCTTTTGACTTGAAAATAAATTTGGACAAACCCTAATTTCGATCAACTAATAGTTTTTAGTATTTAAAGGATCGATATTGATCCAGTGCAGCGAGAACGATCGTATGATGGTACCTCGAGCATTCATTTTGTTATGCTTGATTTTTCTCCGATACCTTCCAGGTAAATTTTCCCGTTTTGATGAATTAATTTCCATTTCAATAATTCTGTTTGTGATTTATCCAATCCGGGTTTAGCCTTTTACACTGTTTACATAGTCTGATTGGGATAGGGAAGCTGAGTTCTTACATTTTTTTTTCAAAAGTCACAGATAAAATCATATGTAAAGGATTTTGCTTCTATTTTTACTGGTAATATTAGCAGTTTTTTTTTTTTTTTTAAATAGGTACTTAGGGAAGAATAGTACGTGTACTTTCTTGTCTTTCATCTGCCCGTGGCTACCCCAGAAAAATGACAAAAAAAATTCTCAAATTGTTTGTTATGAAACCTGATAGAGTTGTATTTGAATTTTAGAATATCTCGTGAAAAAGAATCTGATTTAATACTAGTTTAGTCATTCCTCAATTTGCATCACTACATATTGTTTTCGCACTAAACTAAACTTTTAGCTATGTAATCATTGTTGATGAGTATTTGCAAAACAATGGATGAAATATTTCTTTTAGCTATGTAATCTTTTTTCCTCCTTATCGACCAAGATTTCTTGAGACGTGGTTTGCTTTTTATCTCTGTTGAAATAGGATCACGATATATATATGCTGTTCTTATTGCATTATCATTGAAGCTTCCTTTTTCCTTTGCAGTGTTAATATCAGCTGCCACCATTACTCTTGATTCCATTGAGATATATAAAACCCATGAATGGTTACCATACAAACCTACAGTTTACTTTCTATGTAAAGGGGAGAACAAAACTACTTTACCTGATGTGAAGGAAAAGCATGTCTTGTATACCTTCAAAGGTGAAGAGTCTTGGCAGGTAACGGATCAGTGAATATTATTTCATTTTGAGAGAATGTTGCCCTTATGTTGTTTTAGTTGGTTAAGTTCTAGTTGAGATATTTTAATGCCAAGTTTAAATGCCTGGGCATGCTTCCTTTGATGGATGCATTCATCCATTTAACTAATTTGATTAATAGGTTCATCAGGCACATTGAAGTCCTCAGTCAATATCTTAAGATTGTCCTCTTCCTCTCTTGATTTCAGTGTAGAACTTGAGAGATTATAATGATTTCTTGTCATTTTATGGTCTTTAGTGGTGTATACTTGATACAATGTTGGGTCCTCTCTCTCTCTCTCACTCTCCCCTCAAAGAAAATAGCATGGCATATTCAAAAGTTACCCGGCCTTCCACTATTCCATATCTTTTCCTTTGAAGATGCGTATTTTCCTGTGAATGGAACCTGTATTGGGACGTGTCAAGAAAGTTATACTCAGTGATCTGTGCCTTATGAGTTTTGGTGACATTAGATAATGGGTACAAGTGTTTCACTACGTTAAGTTTTTATCTCCATTTTGTTCTATGGAGCTAGAGTCTGCTGGCTACCTGCACACTGCATTTGACAATTGGTTATAGAAGATAACCTGACATTGGTGTTAGATTTTCACTTCTTGTGTAGTATGGAAGATTAACACAGAGAAACAAATTTGGCTTTTGCTGTTTTCAGCCCCTAACAGAACTGCCAGATAAGAAATGCAAGCGCTGTGGGTTTTATGAGCAAGACACCATTAAGTCAGATGATGTATTTGATGAGTGGGAATTCTGCGCATCTGATTTTACAAAGTCTGATGGGAAATATATTCATTTGAAAGACAAAGAACTTAATGCAACATTTTTGTGTCCAGAATGTGTACCTTTTGGAAATGGTGAGTCCTGACTCTGCTCATGGCATTTTACGCATCGTTCACTTCACGCATTTGATGTAGGGAGTAGCCTTTATGCATCTTAATGGAATAACTGGTTTAATCATTTTTATATAAAGGAAACCGCTTCCTTTTGATGGAACATCATTTAATAAAATTCTATGTGCTTTTTTAAGTTTCATAGTGAGGCAAGTGAAACACCATATTCCTGAAACTTGCCATATCCCAAGTTGATGTAAAAAGGTGTGAAATGAAAACATTATGGCCCTGTTTGGTAAAAATTAAAATTCAGATTTTAATTTAAGTCAAAATCAACAATTAATTTCAACCACACATTTTATGGGACCCACAACTTTTCAACCACACATTCCATTAACTTTTATCAAAATCTATTAAAAATCTGATTTTAGTTCTCACCAAACAAGGGCTATACTTATAACCAAGGTTTTCAGCAGTGAATGAACGGTGGTAAAAAAAGGATTCATGTGGCTGGCGCCAGTTTATTAGGAACAAGAAAATTGCTGCTTTTGTGGGAAAGTGAAATAAATGGAGTTTGGTTGGCTAAAAATAACGACCTGCATGTTGTAGAACTTGATCAGTAACAGTGGCATACTTCTGGCAAACCTCACATGTGAATGGATTTTCCATTTTATCTAAAACTTCTGAGTATTTCTTGACCATGCGTATTACTTCATATAACAAAAATAGAGGATAAACAAAAGTGAGAAGTGGAATCAGTAATTCATCTTCTTGTGGTTGTGATGCATTCACAATTATAAAAGGTTTCATATTTAAGGTTCTTGGGCACTTGGTGCTGAATGTCACCATTAAGTAATGTAGACTGTTAAACCTCTGTGGCGGATAATGTTTGTTCGGCTACTTTCAGTGTCTATAAGAATTGGTGAAACATTGAACCAAGCCACTCCAAGTCCAAGGAGGATCAAATATGGCCATAGTAGATTTTTCATATAATGTGTCATTATCTTGTTATATATATGTTTTCTGTGTATGAGAATACACATATGCTGTTGTATGAATGTAAATTCACGTCTTCAATTCTAACATTGTTGTTTTCTTTTGTTATAGCTACAGACCATTCCTCTACCTCCAAAAACAACTCAGATGGAATGCATTGGGCTCTAATTGTGCTTATTAGTGCTGTAGTTTCAACAGTCTTCATTGCTGGTTTGGTAACTGCATTCAAGTATTGGCAGAAAAGGAAGAGGCAACAAGAGCAGGCACGATTCCTGAAACTGTTTGAAGAAGGTGATGACATTGAGGACGAATTCGGCATTGGCCCTCTTGATGGTGTAGTTTGAAAAATAAAAGTTCTCCTGCCTTTCCAGTCCATTTGCGATGTCATTATCTGTTAGTGGAGATTTTCTGTAGGGGTAGATACATCGGTGTAAATAAATAATAACCCTAAACAAAAAAGCCATGTAGCGTGGTCTTTTTTCCTTTTTGGGATATAGTTGAATTCCAAGGAAATTGAACAGATGTACATACAAAGGGATTAAATGTGAGATTGAAGAGAAGAATTGTGTAATATATATCAGAAGATAGAATAAATAGACTATATTCTTTAATTCTTTTGTAGCAGGCAAGAAATTTTATATCTTTTAAACTATTATTTGAAGCAGAAATGCATTATTCAAGTGCGTTAAGAACACGCCAGAGAAAAGAATTCAAATACGCAGATATCAGACACAAACACCATAAAAGTCTGCTGGTTCAAAGTGGTTTCCCAGGTAAGTCTTTCAGTAACCAATGATTCTTTCATACAGTATCATCTCATTTGAATCATTCCAGCTGTTATTATATGGAAGCTCTTGGTAATCATGGTCATGAAAATCTTCTATGCCCCCCACTCCGAAACTAAAACCACCATATGAAGACCACTGATCATCACCATAGCCAAGTTGCATATCATCGATAGACGTATAATAACTATCCAAATTTTCTTCGCCTTGATAATGATTGTCTAGACCTAAGCTGCTGCCATAAGCTTCATATTCTTTGTCAGAACAGGAATCATCTTCTCCCCAGTAGCTACAAAGGTAGGATTCATAACATCCAAGCATATTTTCACCACCAATGTAGGACAATTCCGTTCCATCATCAGCTTCCTCATGAATTGAGGAGTTGTAATCATCATAGGGCCACGCTTGAGAAGATGAAAATGGCTGTCCGTAAGGGCCATCGCCACCAAAGCTACTGTCGTACCAAGTGAGATAATATGAATCGTAGTCACCAAATTCAGGCTCAGGCTCAAGCTCACTAATTATAAGTCTGTTGAGCATCACAGTACAAAGAAATTTTCTTTCCTTCATTTACCTCGACACTCGACTTTACTCTGGAAGGATCTCTCTCCCTATCTGTTTGTTTTATATAGAGGAAAATGTATTGGTATAGACACATGGGTCAGCACGATGTACCCTTAATATCTATTAAAAATAGTAATTTGAGGCTAAGTCACACTTATGCACGGAATATCATAAAAAGTAGGAAGATGCTACAAAAGAAGAAAAGATGGTGAAAAGCATCTTTTGCCACCATGAATTGTTAACTTTGTAGATTCTCTGGATAATGGTGGAAAAATCGGGGAACTACGTCACGCATTAGGGACTCAAAGATATCTACCAAAAATCAAGAGTAGGGATGGGAACGGGGTATGTAGGTCCATACCCCGCCTGCTGGTGACTTTCAGGGGACAGGGCCAGGTTCACTTCCCCCCTCCCCCCCATTCGGGCCTCACTGTTGTGATTAGATACAATTCTTCAATTTACAGCCAATTTCATATTGATCCTTAAGCAAATTAGTGAATACTTAGTCGTTTAAAGTTTCGATATGTGATAGTTTAGTCAAAGTTATGGATCTGCAAGATAATACCTGACTGGAGATGGTTTCTTTTTGCTACTAGCGGCCGAGGGGTGTTGATCAAAGCTGTCCTCCAAACTATTCCGACTTATGAGAGTTAATTTAAGATGCCCGTGTCGTTATGTAGAGAGAGTCGATGATTTTCAGGTATTGGTGGTCTGGTGGGGGGGCGAAGGATGGGGAACGACTGATGACACCCATTAATTGGGAAAATATGTGTACTTCAAAAGATAGAGATGGGTTTTCGGGACTTCAGATGTTTAATCAGGCTTGGTAGCAAAACAGGCTTGGAACATGACAGAGCCGAGTTCTCTCTACGAAAATTCTCAAGGATAAGTATTTTCCCGATTCTGATTTTCTGCAGGCTCGGGAGAAGGGTGGGGGCGTCGTTCACGTGAAGAATGTGCTGCGGTGAAGGGATTTGCTGGTTCTGGGACTTCGATGAATGGTTGGGAAGGAGTTTAAAATTCGACCAGGTATTCACCCAATATATTGTTAATGAACGAATCGAACCAAGAATCTAATTGAGTAGATAATTTCCTTGTTACTTTAATTAATTAAGGAAAAACCTTGAGCAAATAGTCCTTTGGTTTTCAAGGGTATCACCACGCGTCTTAATCTCGACCAATCCCTCAGGAATATGGGACAATAATAGAGCGAATCAGTCAAAGTGTCCACCACGAGCTGTCAAAGCGCATACAGTCAATTGTCAATCTCCAACTGAAAGCTGAACAGTTGACAATTAGTCATCTCGTGAGTTTTGTCGGCCTACTCGTCTTTAATTAGTTAACAAAAAAACCCTCCTAACCCATTCTTGCATTTTTCGTTGCACACGCTTTCCCTGTGTACAAGTCATTTCAGAATATCCAACCGACATTCCATATTATATCAACATTTCAGAATAATAGAGATCACATTTTTATTTTGTTACGTCTTTGTCCATTTATTTTTTAAAAAAAAATTAGGAAGAAGTAAAGGATCCATGATCAAAAGGTTTGATAGGATTGAACTAGACGTTAAGTATGCACCAATGCGAACACCTATCTCACTTTAGAAAAAAGGTAATAAGCCCTTAAAGTTTTATAATGCACCTACATGATTCGCCATTGTGAGCTTATGCTCCGTATTACACAATTGAAATTGTCTTACTCTTTCAAATATAAACCATATATAGTTTAGTTGTATCTAGGAACCGGAATCCACAAATGTTACATCAAAACTAACAATGATAGCATTGACGGGTGGTTTTCAATGAAGAAGCATATAACTTCCACAATGCCTAATGAGAAGGAAAAATGGGAATAGCTAGGTATGATGTATAACCTGCAATGCCTCCCTGCGGAACTTTTTCTTGTCAATTCCATACAATTCCTCGGAAATGCCGGGCTCCACTCAACGGAAATATAGAAGATCTATAGTAGAAAGTAGATTCAAACAAATAAAATTGCTAAAAGTTTATGATCATTAACTTGATTGTTGTTAGAATAGAAGCATCGGCTTGGACCAATATGCTGATTGCTGAAAGTATAGAGCGTATCATTTACCCGGGTTGGAGAAGAGTAGAGTCGATCAGGCTCGATGATTGGGAGAAGCAAAACAAAATCTTTCTAGTTAGAATTGTGCATTCGTTTCAAACTAATCATTAAAGTTGATAGTTGACGTAGTAAAAGATAACGTCGTGTTATCCAAACACTTTGATTATGAATTTTGTAGTCATGGAAGTTATAGCAAAATTTCAATTTAATCCTTTAAAAAAATAAAAAAATTTAGCCATCCAATTTGAAAATGAGAGAGAGGAAAATTAGCCTAATCCTAAATCACCCAAAAAATATGTCAAAATCTCTGGACAAGCTTCAGACAATATCTTGTAATACGGTGAATAAAAATGTTAAAACACCAGACTACCATCGTTTCAACCCGTGTATGGAAATCTACCAATTCAGTGTATAACAATGTCAATTATAATCAAGACACAATCACAAACCCACATAATCTACTACAACTTTCAGAAGTTCAGAAGGTAAAATTTCAAGGTGACTCGCTGCCTCGGTTAGAAGGTACATCATCATCCTCATCAACTGGACTCCTGTCTTCCCTTGGAGTAGGGCTGCGATTGTTACCATTGGTGCCATAAGGGCTCTCATCATACCTTCTAACAGCAGGGCTTTCCCTTTCAGGACTTGCAGGACTTCGGCTCGACTCCCTGGGACTTTGACTGTACCTATTTTGCTCAGACACTATTTCCTCTCTACTGGGAGACGGAGTTACTCTATCTCTAGGGCTGTCTCCATTAGGTGTTGGGCTGCGCTTCCTTGTTTTGGAGGGAGGAGTGCCACTGTTTAGCAAGGGGCTTCTGCTGGTGCCTGGACTCCTTGATCTCCTTTCTTCGTACTCAACAATTTTTCCTCTTCTGGGAGGGGACCTCGACCGGCTGGCAAACATAAATACAACACCAAGGAAAACATAAATGTCAAAAGTTGTAATATTCAGAGTACTAAATCATTGGCAAACATAAATACAGCGCTAAGGAAAAGATAAACGTCCGAAGTTGAAATATTAAGAGCACTAAATCATCGAAAAATATTTCCTCGATAGGTTGAAACTTTTCTCACGTTGGTTTTAAAAACTATATCGAAGAAACAAAACTAACCTATAGCTACGACTTCGGCTGAAACTTGGACTCCTGTTCCTGCCACGACGAGGAGAATGTGATCTGACAGGTGAGCGTGAGTAGCTCCGACCTCTTCTGTTAAACATGAACAAATCAAATTAACAGAAAACTGAAATGGTGCCAAGAGTGGCGCTTGTGCAGAGCACCATACAAGTATGTGTATCAATGTGGAGACAGATCGAATTAAGTCAAAGAAACAACTTGTGCAAGCAAGACGTTAAAATTGAAAGTGCTACTATAGCCTAACAAAAAGGTACTTGAGCTTCTGAGGACTATTCTGGCAGTTCCTTTCAATGTGGCCTCTTTCCCCACATCGATAACACTTATTCTTCCAGTCTCCAGCCTTGCAATCTCGGGCCCAGTGGCCATCAAGACCACAGTTAAAGCAGCGTCCAGAACCAGGAGCAGGACCCCTGCCAACATGCTCTCGAACCCCCCCAGGTCCACGTGGTACCTACACCAGCATGATGCAACATTAGATTTAATATACAAAAAAAAGAAAACCATGGGAAAATACTGCAGAGGGAGAGCATAAAGTGCTAAAAAGGTAATATTCATCCAAAACCCACCAAATCAATCATAATGTTCAAATAAATTTTAAAAACACAAATTTTACATACCCCCTTGGCAAATTCCACAGTAATGCGACTCCCGTCAACATCTCTTCCATCCAAGTGATATCTAGCATCATCAGCATCTCTTGGATCACTGAATTCCTATAAAATAGGGTAGAGACAAAGACCAAACACAGGAAACACAATTTTGTAATTT